ATATATAAAAAAATGTGTATATATATATATATATATATATATATATATATATATATATATATATATATCTAATTATACATGTATGTAGGAAAAAATGATTTATGTATATTGTCATACATGTATCCAAATAAATTCATGTTCATGTATATGTATTATACATTTATCTCATAAATATGATTCATGTATAGGAGTAAGTTTGATACATATATTAATAGATCCATATATACAATATATCTATATAGATAAATAAATCCACATTGGTATATACATATTAATATTAAAATGTACCAACAAGATCGTATTATAGTTGAAATAATTTTAGAGCAAAGGAAAATATAAATTTGTAAAGTTGGTATGACAAGATATCAAAACACTGAGAAAAGCATTGACAGAACTCTCGATGGTGCCTAGAAAACCTATTACGAATGTTTAATACAGAGAATGGCGCAGGCGATTGATAAATGTAGCCTATGAAGCACGGATAAGGATACAAATACATATGGAATAGGGGTACGATACGATACGGATATGACAATATGACAAAATTCAAAAAAATAAGATATGGATACGGTCAAGATACATCTATAATAAAATATATTTCATATTTTTACTATTATCTACCAACTTAATAATTATATATTTTGATAATTCTTTAACATAATAAAGATGACATATATATATCATTATGGTATATTCACAAAATGAAGTGACTAATTAAAAGAGTCAAAAGTAATATTTACTTAATTGGTTTATTTAGAAGTATTTATAGTTAAGATTATAATAATAATGTCATATATTCATTTTATACTCTTTTGACATATAATAATTGATGATATTTTAAAAATACTCATGTGTCTTCAAAATAGTTTGAATTTTTGTTGATGTATTATATGATATGTGAATTCGAAATAAGATATTCAAGATTAAATTCAAAAATTATATCTATTGCTTTGATACCAAAGTATTCGTGAAACATTCAAATATTTTAAAATTATTGGATACGTAGAAGGAGTATCTAATACGTATTTTCGAGTATTCGATAAATATTGTATCCAATTCGGTATGTAATATGAGTACACTTATATATATATATATATATATGCTAATCAACCTTAAAGTATAGCTAGAGTGACAGAACAAAATGGATACTTTGTAATCAACCTAAAATATCTTCTGTGACACATAATTAAATTTCGGTTTGATGGGATTGAAGTTTTCAAGAAGATGGGTACTAATCATAGAGGAAGGTCCCCAAAGTATGGACCAAAAAAAAATGGACAAGTTGAATCTTTTGGGTTTCTTCCCATATCTCTCACTGCCTATATAAGTACCACTAGTTTTAAGTTCAAAAAATATCCCATTTCATTGATCAACCATGGCTGCTCATATTCCCTTGTGTATGGGGTTCTTCTTCACCACAGTTTCACAATTCCTATCCACTTTGGCACTACCAGACAATTACATTATTCACATGGACTTATCGGCAATGCCTCGGGCCTTCTCCAGCCATCATAGCTGGTACTTGGCCACGCTTGCCTCTGTAACGGACCTTAGCACCACCACAACTGCCAGTAACCCAACTTCTTCATCCACCTCTAAACTTATCTATGGTTATACCAATGTTGTTCATGGTTTTAGTGCTAGTCTTTCTCTTTCTGAGCTCGAAGCTATTAAAAACTCCCCGGGCTATGTCTCGTCAATTAGAGACATGTCTGCTAAAGTTGACACGACTCACTCGTTCCAATTCCTTGGCCTAAACTCCAATTCCGGAGCATGGCCAAGTTCCGACTATGGCAAAGATATCATAATTGGTTTAGTCGATACAGGAGTTTGGCCCGAGAGCAAAAGTTTCAAAGACGATGGAATGTCAGAAATTCCATCAAGATGGAGAGGTGAATGTGAAAATGGCAACCAATTTAATTCATCTATGTGCAACAAGAAACTCATTGGAGCTCGTTATTTCAACAAAGGCCTACTTGCCAGTTTTCCTAACCTGACAATCTCGATGAATTCTGCTCGTGACACCGACGGACATGGTACTCACACTTCATCCACAGCTGCTGGAAATTATGTGGAAGGTGCATCTTACTTCGGTTATGCCCCGGGAACCACCAGAGGCATGGCTCCTCGGGCTCGAGTGGCAATCTACAAGGCCCTTTGGGCTGAGGGTGTATTCATGTCTGATGTTCTGGCTGCAATTGATCAAGCAATCATCGATGGCGTTGATGTCTTGTCCCTATCATTGGGTGTTGATGGTGTTCCTTTGTATGAAGACCTCATCGCCATTGCTACCTTTGCAGCCTTGGAGAAAGGTATATTCGTCTCTACCTCATCGGGAAACGAGGGACCTTACCTCGAGTCCCTGCACAATGGGACACCTTGGGTTCTCAATGTTGCTGCTGGTACCATAGATCGGGAATTCATAGCAATTGTAACTTTAGACAATGGAGTTTCGATTTTGGGGTCATCTCTCTATCCTGGCAATTCAATTTCAAGCAAAGTCCCAATGGTTTTCATGGATTCCTGCGATGACGTGAAGGAATTGAACAAAATTGGGCACAAGATTGTTGTGTGCCAAGACAAGAATGATACCATCAGTGAACAAGTTTACAATGTGAAAAATGCTAGAGTTTCCGGTGGTGTCTTCATAACCAATAACACCGACATAGGTTTCTACATTCAGGCCCCATTTCCAGCAGTGTTTTTGAATCCTGAGAATGGTGAAATCCTTTTGGATTACATCAAGAACAGCTCTATCCCAAAGGTAGTAAGTGTTAAGTTCCAAGGAACAAGTCTTGGTACTAAACCAGCACCGAAAGCCACTAGCTATAGCTCGAGAGGGCCATCACCAAGCTGCCCATTTGTCATGAAGCCAGATCTTATGGCTCCTGGTGATCTGATCTTAGCTTCATGGCCTGAGAATACATCGGTGGCCGATCTGAGTTCCAGGGACCTTTTTAATAGCTTCAATATCTTGTCTGGTACATCAATGGCATGCCCACATGCTGCTGGAATTGCAGCATTGCTTAGAGGGGCTCACCCGGAATGGAGTCCGGCAGCGATTCGATCGGCCATGATGACCACCTCAGATGGACTGGACAATACATTCAACCCCATTGAAGACATTGGATTTAATAACCAACCCGCCAGTCCTCTAGCCATTGGAGCTGGACACATCAATCCAAACAAGGCCTTAGACCCCGGACTCGTTTACGATGTCCAACTCGAGGATTACATTAACCTCCTTTGTGCATTGAATTTCACCTCAAAGCAAATTCAAACAATCACAAGGTCATCTTCTCACAACTGCTCAAACCGATCTTTGGATCTTAATTACCCATCTTTCATTGCCTATTTCAATGCAAATTACACGAACCGCGACGTCAAAATTGTTCAAGAATTTCAAAGGACGGTGACTAATGTTGGAGATGGAATGTCAAGCTATTCAGCAAAACTGACACCCATTGATGGATTAACCGTCACCGTTGCGCCCGACAAATTGGTTTTTCGTGAGAAGTACGAAAAGCAAAGCTACAAGCTGAGTATTGAAGGTCCAGGACTGCTCAAAGATTTGGTGGTTTATGGCTCACTGAATTGGGTAGATAGTGAAGGTAAACATGTAGTCAGAAGTCCCATAGTGGCTACAAGCCTAAGCTCAGATACTTTGGGACAAACTAATTAAATATCTTATCTTATTTGATATGTAATCTAGGATTCTAGTAAAATAAACCTTTTCGTATGCATTATTGTAATCAGTTGGTGAAGGGGATAGCTTGTAGCCTGCTGCTCAATGGATGGGGTTTTTGTATGGTTGTTATGAAGTGAAGTGGATTGTTAACCAGCAAACTAAAAAAGTGGATTGTTCAATCACTAAAAAATTTAATTATCAAAAGAAAAATAGGACAATACAAACAAAACATGAATGCACCTAGAAGACTAAACTGTTTCTTTCAACTTTTTTCGGTTGAAGAGGACGAAAATAAGATGTGTACAGCTATTAGTAAGAAAATGGAGCCATCTGAAAAGAAACTTGTACCAAACAAAACGGTGCCATCTGAGAAGAAACTTATACCAGTGGTATTTGTAGTCTTGTACAATAACATGGTGGGGATGGGGACACAATCTCTCTCTCTCTCTCTCTCTCTCTCTCACACACACACACAACACATAGAAACAAAGGCACACCAATGGACCTTGTCGTGTCCCCTTTGCTGGGGGAATTGAACAATTTCCAAGAGATTGTAGTAAGAGCCAGCTCATTAGATTAATGTAACTATTAGCAATAATTGCTTATTATTCTATTCCACAACAGTAAAACAACTTGTTATTACAGACTAAGCCAAGTAATATGTAACTTTAGTCCCCTTAGCCGGATGCATTGAATTGAAACAAAATCTTGTTTATTTAAGTTCCAGCAGCAGTAGCTTTTTTAACTGCTTACGCAGTAACTGGTGAGAGAGTACGAGTCAAAATTTTCGTGCTATTTAAATGTTGGCCTTTATAGCGTCTAGTTTGTGTGTTGATCCAGATGATAATTCGATCTGAAATAATGTTGAGTAATTTTGTACCCCAGTACGCAGAACATATAAAAGCCGCTACTTTGGTGTTTAGAATTTTATTATAACCGAAAGCCGCCCTCTATATTCCACTCTCTCAATAGTGAAATTCATGCAGTTTTGTAGACGTAGGTCAATTTCGAACCACGTAAAATCTTTGTATCTTGTTCCTTATTATTTTATGTTCTTAATTTGTTGTTCGATTGTGTGTGTTTGTCTGTACATTTAAAGCATACTGATGAGACATTTCCGAAATACTCCAAGATGAAGACACGTGTCTTCGGTGTCACTATTCCTTGTTGTCGAGATCACGTACCTATCGGTTCACAAGTTCCCTCTCCCCCGAGATACTTATCATAGGTATCAAGTGGCATCCAGTACGTTTTTATGTACCGACACGTACCTCTCGGTCTGATATGGTACATCGGTCGCTGGGCCTCCCCCTCTCGGCTCCGAGATGTACCTCTTCCTCGGCTCCGAGATATACCTCTACCTCGGTACCGAGATGTACCCCTCGTCCAGTATGCCGTTCTCTGCTCCAGCAGAGGCTATTGATGTACAGGTCACTAACCTAGGCTAGGTTAGGTTAGCTATCATGACCTCGTCTTACGCAATTGATGTCAGAAGGCACAGAGGGCAAGGGACACAGCCCATGGAAAATGGACGCGTGGCATATTGTGTCACATCAGAGACAGAAAGACCGGATGCCCTTGCTGACATACGACTTGGGAAAGCAAGCATTTAATTATATTATTCCTTTGATGAGATAGCATTTAATGCGGTAAGGCTCAGAAGTGAAAGGTAATAAATGTCTCTAAGGTTGTACATTTATTACATCCTTGCCGAGAGGAGTTCATTAAACCGTCGGCATGCCGATGACACAGTCTTGATAGCTCAGGGTCCCGAACAGTTAAAAGAGAAGACATTCCTCGTAGGAATCAGTGCGCACGTTGTCTGTATCTAATGATCACCTACTGACCACACTGACAGCAATCATGAGTATTTGAGGTATAAATACAAAAGGCAAGACAAAAAAGTTGAAACTTTTGCTACAAATTATACTCAGTATTTTCTTCTTCCTCTCTCTCAAAAACTGACTTGATCGTCGGAGGGGATACGCCAAAAAATACTCCGGCGCCCTTCTAACTTGTTCTTCTTTGTTTCAGGAACCTTTCTTCAGCCTTACTAGAACGTTCCGTTGATCCACGAGGGTCTCCCATTACCGTTCCAGGTTACCACCGGACCTCACAGGCTGTTCCAAGCAGCGGGGTTGACCACTCGACTGACTCACTCGAGTTCACCAAGAGAGAGATCTGTTCTCGTATTTATATTGTGCAAGATCCAGCACGCACACATGCTAAATCCCAACATTAAATAATTCTAGTTCGCCTTCCTTTTCTTTGTGAACTTAATCATTTTCATCAAAATCATGTTTCTCAGAAACGTGGAACACAGTCCGACGAAAGATTGGGTAATTGTCCACAGAATGATAATTACATAAACAGGAATCATAACTAAAGAGGGCATATTTATGTGTCCCGTGGAAATGAAAGTTACATGCACGGTTTTGATGCAAGTATGAACACAAGCAGAATTTAATGGTACAAAAACTATTCAACATTATGCCTTTTTAATTAGTTTTTCCACCGGATAAAAAAAATAATAATAAGTCTTATTTAATTTGCATCTGAAAAAACAGTATCCAAAAATCATTTTAGAAAAAAAAATTAGAAAATTAGTTTTGATATTTTTTGTATTACATAACCTGCTTGATTATATGATTCCAAAAACAGTTTTACAAAATAGAAAAGAGTAAAACTTATTTTATCAATAACTCAAAAAATAATGAAAACAGAAATATAGTAGTGGTGGTGGAAGTGTGGTGGTAATGGTGGTGATGGTGGTGAAAATGTGGTGATAGTGTTTTCTTTAAAAAAAAAAAAATTAGTCAAATAATTTTTCTCCCAAAAACTACTTTTCAAATGCAAACTAAACAAAGCCATAATTTTTTGGTCCTTTTACATATTCTTAACCTATCTGCCGTATTTCAACTCTCTCCCCCTATATTGCTAACCAGTTAGATGCCCTCTATGGTTGTTCTTTTTGGCAAATTTTTATCAATGGGAGAATGACGCAGCGAAACAAAGAACACAAAGAAAATTACAATTTTTTATGTATCAATTCAAAAATGACACTTTGAATATATAGAGAAAGTATAGAAAAGCTCTTAAATATAATATTATTCAATAATCAACTCGTAGTACAAAGGAGTAATGTAAATAGAAACGATTAAAACCACAATCGTTTCCAAAAATAGAAGTAAAATCCTTAAAATTACAAAAAATACCAAAAATGGAAATATTCGATTTTCCTAATTAACAAAAAAAAACACGTGTCATCAACAGTCCAATGAAACTGACGGTACTGAATTTAAAATTTTTTATAATTTATTATTAATTTTCAAAATCTTTCTTAAAACAAAAATTATTAAACTTGAGAGAGGTATCAAAACACAACAAAAATAATAAAAATCCACACAAAAGCACATGAAATCAAATATAGAATTAAATCGATAAGTAATACTAACTTTTATCTCATTAGAGAAATTCATACTGAAAAATTGTTATTGTAAGTGTATGAAATAGGACAATGAATGAAATCCGAGAAGATATTAGATAGACTAGCTTACTAAAAGGGAATAAATAGTACGAAGGGTTGGCTTAGTTATTAATGAGGTGAATATAGAAAGGGTAAACTTAGTAATTTGATAATAAGAAAATTAAATGAGGTGAGAATGAATTTTTGTGGGGTGAAAATAACTTCAGCCGAATTAAAATGCTTCTTTCAAAGCCCCTCCGTGATCTCTTTAACAAGCTATAGAAAATTTTTTGCTATATATATATATATATATATATATATATATATATAT